TACCTCCGAAACTAGCTAGTGGTAATCCTGACTCTGCGGTCCACCCATAGCCTGGTTGTACTGCTCAGCTCCTTTACCGGATCTACCCTTTGACCTTCCCCTAGCTTTCTATTGAATCACCAGTGGCCAGAGGTGTAACAATAGTAAGGAGCCACAGGTTTACACCTGTGTGTGAAGAGGTGTCCTCTTCTCTCTCCCCTGCTACGTTGTCTCCAATATGATACTGAGAAGCACCCTATGGCAGTATAACTCCCTCCTGTCTGAAATGGGCTGCTCTTCTCCTTAGCTGCAAAGCAGAAGATCTGCCTCCAAGGATGGGGTTGATCCCACCTGCATTTTGAGAGTGATGTCCAGAGAAATGTGCTTTTGATCTATTTTGGGATGAACCGAATCGCAGTCTCGAGGTCTTCATGGGCTATAAAAGGAGGTGATGCTCCGACTTAGCAGTCTACTTCTCAGATGTCAAAGTTAGAACGGATGAATGGTACGTAGAGCAATTTGTCCACTTTTTAGAAGAAAGTCTGTAGAAAGCCTGAAGCAGGCCCCAGAAGCCATGCATCCCAGGTCCAAATATAAGCTTTTTTTTTTATTATTATTCCTGAAAAATACATCAGGTATTTATAAACCTATTCTTTGCAAAATGAATTATTCTTACAAAGAATTACACTATAATAAGTCACATCATTAAAGGAAGATTGTTCTGTGAGCAGCAGAGCCTGGTTTCCTGTGGTTTTGTGTCTCGTGGCTGGATTATCTTTTGTCTAATGAAGAGCACTCCGACTGAAGCCTTTTCTCCTGTTCATAAAGGCACTGTCTCATGTGGATTCTCTGGTGTCTAATAATACTCAAGCTGCAGTTGTTTATGTTATCTCATATCTGACAATGTATTTTTGCCCATGCGGTAAGCTATTCCTCTCTGGAGACCCAAAAGGGTAATCCTTCTCCAGCCTGTGCCACTTTTCACAAAACTGTGAAAATTAATATCTTTGAGACTTCTATCACACTGTTAAATTTGACTGAAATCAGCCAACAGGCTAAAAGATTATTGAGAAAAGAATTGGACTGGCAGAACAACATTATAAGCCTAATTTTATTAGGCAATTAGTTTACAGATGATGAAAAGAAAACATCGGAGCAGATTAAATACGGAAAAAATGCCCCAGAATATTTATTTAAACATCTATATGTTTGATGTGATCATTTTTATGCCTGTTTTGCATTTCAATTTTATAGGTTCAATTCATAATTAAATGCAAAAGAACAGCAAAGGCACCATATCCCAACAGTCAGGCTTACACCTCAAAAGTGTAAGTGAATATTCAAATAATAGATCCTCTGGACAAGGAAATTTTTAAATATTTCTGTCAAAATATTACAAAATTTAGAGTTTAGAAAAAGAATATTCAAAAATTCAGAAACTAGATTTTGAGGATTACTCTCACCTAGTCAGAGAATAAAAATAGACCATGTGGTGTGTGCTGGAATAGCAAATATTTGGAGCAAACCTGAACAGAAGAAATTCAGACCAAAAATCCTTTGCTGAAATGATTCATGAAAACGTTTCAAAAATGTAATGTGCTGAAGGGAACTGTGATTTATTTTCACACACACACACACACACAAAATCACAAATGAAGGAAAGAAGTGAGATCCACTGACTAAATTGTTCGTTGCAATTTATTTTCCCAGCTCCTGAGCCATTGAAACAAGATTGTCATAACATGATTTTCGGAGAGACTTGTATTTTCTTACCTTGAATGCAGTTCAGATGGATGAGCTACCACTGTACTCCATGCTAGGGTACCTTATCAAATTAGGAGAATGCATTTTTAAATTCAATTACATCCTCAGTGGAGATGGTTTCTCTGACTCTGGTAGTCTTTGGAGGGGAATTATACACAGTCTATAAAGCTTCACATTTCAAAATCTCATTTTCAATGTTATTCAAGAGGTTAATTTAAGATTCATCTTCCAAAAGAGGAGTTAAATAAAATGGATAGAAGGCTGGAACTTGTCGAGTGGCTGAGACGTTTATCAGCTTGTGAGTATGAGTTCATTAGTTTTAATTAGTATAATCACTAATGTTGCATTAACAGTTTGGTGAGAGAAAGTAATTGCTCACACCCACTGTATTAGATTGGGAGATTAGAATTATTTTATGAGGCAATTAGCATTTCAGGGATTTTCTTAAAAGGCTTTTACGATCTGCCATGCCGGTAGCCTCCTTCACCAAAAGAGTTTAAATTAGCCATAAATTTCATCCTAATGGATGCAAAAATTAATGTAGAATTAAGAGGGAGCCAGACCTCTCCAGCAGTCCCACCACGATAAGCAGGCAGCGAAAGCCACAAACCTCGATTAGTTTATAATGACCTGCTTTACTTCCCAGATAATGTGAGTCATTTATCAGTCCTCGATTCATTATCTCTGTTTGGAAAACTGATACTCCTGAATTTTATACAGCAAAATAAACAAAAATGAGGTGAAAAAAGTAGAACAGTAACATAACAGTTTGAAGTAATAATTTTCCAACTAAAAAGCTACATGGTTCAATTATAGTGCTTAAATAGTCTACTATTCCTTATATCAAATGTCAGAGGAAATAGAAATGTTGCTGTTTGACACCCGATCTATTAGGAAGAACCGCGCACATAGCAACATGCATAACCCCGCCTGGCTGTGGTGTCCCCCAGACAGCCGAATGGAGATCCAGGACTTAACAGTCCTGGCTGGCAAGAGACCTCTGCTCGTTTAAGGATCGAGACAGTTCACCCAAGAGATGGCCTTCCAAAATGTCGTGGAAAGCAAAAGTACAAGTCGTGAGGGGAAAAAATGGTCGCAGTAAGAAAACTTTCTCTACCATGTCAGAGCTGTAATGAATGGCATCCAGACACCCATAGAAAGATGTGACAACATAAAATTTGCAACACGTCTAGCAGCTATTGTACTGGATTATGTTTTTCTCCAGTGAAAACAAACTTCTGCTGCACATAAGTGTCGGTGAGAGATAGGCCTTTGGATCTCATCACCTACAGACTCCAGTAGGGCCTAGTAAAGTCCCATATCCACTATGACTTTGGATATGGCAAGGAGAAGGTTGTTAGATGTTAGATCCTTAACGCTGTTCCCCTTGTTTTGAGTACATATATTAAAATGAATAGACATGGGGCAGAAAATCTTAAATCACAACTTTAAGGTTATTTGCTTCCAAGGTAGAGATTGACCATTAGCAGTAGATTTTCTGATTTTTTGTGTTTCTGCTGGTTTGTGAATACCTGCACTGGTGGAAGATGAGAAAACAAGGGTTGGGCCTCAGGTACCGAATTGCCACTTGCACAATTGCCCCCTGCTCTACTCCCTGTGGGGTACTCACCACACCGTTCACTGCAGGTATTGGTGGTGGAAGTAGCCCTAGAGCCTGCAGTGCATTGGGATACAACCCCTGCACCTCTTAGATCTTCTATTCCAGGCTGCGCCAAAGCAGACATCCCACGGTTATGCTCAGTTTGTATTTTCAAGCTGTCCTTTGCAATCACCTGTGTAGAAACTTACTATACCTTTTGAGGAAAGATGCTGATGTAATTACAGGGTTTCAACAGGCAGGGCTGATGTATGGGCATAAAAGCCTCAACTTATCCCACCTAACCACAGTGCTTAAGTCAGAAACCCATAGTAAACTGTAATCACTCTCACTTGAGTATCAGGTGAATTTCCTAAATTTTCCTAAAACATATATTTAAGTAAATATTTATACACACACACACGTACATATATTCACATATATGTGTATATATGTATATATATATATATATGTACATCTATACATATACTGTTACTTCTTACACAAAAATATATCTTTTCCTATAAACGTCTTCAAAGGAGTTCAGAGGGAGACAACGTCCTCCTACATTTATGTGCTTAAAATTCAGGTGCAACTGGACAGATTGGATCTCAGCCTTAGTCACGTGTGCCTACCAGCAGCGCCCCATCTAGGAGGCGAATTACTCCACCTAAGAACCAAATCAACCCCTCGAAGTGCCTGCCTGCCTCTATTGACTGCACAGGCAGTCTAAAGTAAACAGATTTATGTTTCATATGGCTGCGGTAAATGCTTAAAATTAGGTAGGATGAAGCATGACCATCATGCCTGTGCCTTAGGGTGTGTCTATGCGTAGAGTCATTGCAGGAGAGCCGTTATTCTTCCTGAACAACATTACGTGTGCATTTGCTTTAGGTTGAATAAGACATACTAGTTTCTCTTCAACAACATCCACCTGATAGAAACAGAGTGGTTTGTTTCCTAGTCCTCACGTGAAGCCTTTCTGCAAGAGCTACTGCATTTTCAGTTAACCACCCTACCTTAATCCAAATTAACTTTTGTGTAAGATTGTCCTAAAATTGCCATCTATCCACCTTTGAGAACCATTTCAGATTTATGGAGGAAAACACAATTAGGTAACAAATCCATTGAGGGCATCTTATATGCTAAAAATTGACTTTTATATCACAAATTATATGTGTTATAAAGCATATTATTTCAGGAAAAATGCCTCTATTTGATAGTGTGTTTCATTAAAGAGTAATAAAGCTATACATATTTCATTTCCTTGTTCTGAGCTGCAAGAGCTGTAACTATATAAAATGCTCCATGCTGTCCTTGTTTTGTTGTGCTTTTTTTATTTTTAATCAGATTTTTCGCTCTGAACTAATGAAATTGCTCTTTAAACACATACATCACTTTCATTTAAAGTGACATATCAAGGCTCAGCCAGTTTCTCTCCTCCTGGAGAACAAGGCAACTGCCAGCACCTTTGCTGTGCAAACCCTGGCCTGGATTGCCCTGGTCTCAGTCTGATTTCAAAAGCGATGCGTTCCTGACGGTCCCACCGGTGTCATTTAGGTGGGATTTCAGTTGACCGGCTTCTGTTGGGACTGCACCTTCTATATATCTGCACCAGTTCCTTGTTCACCAGCTATCACACGTCATTTCTCTCTTGTAGTATGTGTCGAACCGCTGCACAGCTGCCCAGGCGTCCACGGAGCAAGACGGCCTTCCTCCCTGCCACCACCACGAAGCGGTGCACGACCCCCAGCTGGTGCCTTGCACGTGTCCGCTCTTCTCTTGCCAATGGGAAGGGCACCTGGAGGTGGTGGTGTCGCATCTGAGACAGATGCACCGCATTAACATCCTTCAGGGGGCAGAGATTGTCTTCCTGGCCACGGACATGCACCTGCCTGCACCCACAGACTGGATCATCATGCACTCTTGCCTTGGCCACCAGTTTTTGCTGGTTCTCAGGAAGCAGGAGAAGTACGAAGGTCACCCTCAGTTCTTCGCCACGATGATGCTGATCGGCACGCCGACCCAAGCTGATAACTTCACCTACCGGCTCGAGCTCAACAGGAATCAGAGACGCCTTAAGTGGGAAGCGACCCCCAGATCAGTACTGGAGTGTGTTGACTCTGTCATTTCGGACGGGGATTGCCTTGTGCTGAACACTTCCCTGGCTCAGCTCTTTTCCGATAATGGAAGCCTTGCAATAGGAATTGCAATAACCACCAGCAAAGTGCACCACGCTGAGGCTGAAATATGAGAGAGAAGAGGAAGAAGAGGAGGAGGAGGAGAAATACGGTGCTTCAGCTGCCTTGTGAGAGCCAGAACTTGTAGACTTTTCGGGGGGGGTCTCAGGTCTTTTATGGTATTTAGTACTCATCCACAGTGGGCATTATGTAAACATCCTGTGGTCACAGTCTCTGTGTAATGTATTTACTGTTTTGTTAATACAATTTTATGAGAAATTTTAAAGAGGCTAATCAATTTATTGCCGCCCTCCAAGCAACACTGCTCAGCCTTTTGAGCTGACACTGCTCTCATGGAAGGTGCTCCTGGGGTGACTCACAGAGACCTTTGGTGTGAATATGCTATGAAAATGTCTTTCCTTCATTGTCTGCCTAATTGCCTGGTATTAAGGAGGCTTCCGTGCCTGAAATAAGGTAAAATATTCCACTAGGGGATGGAAGCACCTGAGTTGCAGCAGCTTCGTCGATCGCAAGGAACTTCAGAGAAAATGGTGCACTGCGATGAATTGACCTCAGATGAACTGAATTGCAGCAGACCTCAGACTATCTGAGGATGTCTGTGACTCCTCTCCCTCCTTCCCTTGGCACTGAGTGCTTACCTTCCTATGCTTTTTTTTTCCTTTCTAGCAATAATGATTTAACTTTTATACTGTAGTCATGACGAAGCCCTCTGATGAACAGCAGTGCCTACCCCAGGGAGTTCACAGTTTCAAAGCTCCCTTCATCTTCAGAGGATGAGGAAGCAACGTTCACCGCCCAGATAACGAACTCTCCAGAAGAAAAATTCACCACCTTCACAAATCTCTGCTCAGCTGGGGCCTAGGAAGCCTCATCCTGCAATAAATCACCAACTACAGCTAGAGGGCAGACACTAATGATTAAATTGTACTCTTGTATCAAGATGGGGAGTGACAGGCTTGGTAGATGGTCTAGCCCCCAGGATGTAGATCACCCATAATCAGTCCTCAGGCATTCACTTTTTTAGCTTCTATTTCCCTAAACATCCAAAAAGAGTTTTTCAGAAAATAAAATATCAGGAAGGTCCCAAGCTGCGTATTGAACTTGCTGTTGAATTCTGGGCTCCTTAGCCCCACAGCTTCTGCTGGTAAATGCTGACTTAAAACAGGGACAGCTAGAACATCTATCTGCAAATTGGCTATGAGATTTGAAACATTCTCCTTTAAAAATGACATCAGTTTGTTTTCTTCCATTTACCTGGGAGGTGAGGATTATCCCTTTGTATTGCTGGGGGTGGTTCACAGACATCATGGGTCACAAAAAGGCATGGGCTCCTGTAAGAGCTCTTCTCTTGGATGGCTCCTCGGGGAGACAGAGATACGTGCTGGCCCTCTCCCGGCATTCGGTCCCATCTGTGGTCAAGAACATTTCCTCAGTAGCAAATATCAGCAGTGAAATCCCACTACAGCAGGGTGATGAATTAAAAGAGAGGGCTCTGCTAGAGAAGTGAATGTGACAAAGCCTGGAAAATTGTCTTTTCCTGGTTTCCCTTCTGCCCGTGAGTAGCTGTGGCCTGTCTGTTACCCAAACATTGAGCAATTCTCTGAGAAACTGCCAGGTAGGTTGTGTCAATTAGTAGTCAGAGAGACAGAGGCTAACTGCCTAAGCCCCTTAAAAAAAAAAAAAAAGAAAGAAAGAAAGAAAAGAAAGGGGGGAAGCTATTAAGAACAGGACAGTCAGTCCTTTAGCATTTAAAAAGGAATCTCACTGTAGCTACCTCTGGGAAGAGAAAAGCACTGATGCTAATCTCTCTCACCTGCTGCTCTCCTGGGATTTATTGTAAACTGTGCATGAAATAAAGCAAATTTCAATTTTTCCAGGATGAATGCTATGGAGGCATGCATCTGAGTTGCAGGCGTACCTCATCGCCCTACGTGGGCTTTCACGACAGGTCACCGCACAGGGACTAGTCAGGATTTCTTCAACAAGCTGCTCATAACTGCATGGAAATGGAGGTTGAGGAGGTCTGAAAAAGAAGCATCAATCTCCATAGAAATATGCCAGGGGCTAGCCAGCACAGCTCTCAGCTTCAGATTTTGGGGGGAACATGTTGGTCTGTAGCACTTCAGTGGAACACTTCAGAATGGCTTGCTTTTTCCCTGTGGTGTTAAATATTCAGAACCAGCAACTACTGCCCTTTCCCTAAATGATAGCAATAAATAAATCATTGGCGTTTTTGTGGACTGAAACTGGACTCTCTAGCTCCTCTGGCAAATATTCTACTGCTGAATTACAACCAATCAACAGCAATAAAACCCCAAGAAAAACAGTTCCAGTAGCTTAAACTTGCTCAGCTCTTTGTGTGCTAAGGTAAAGCATCCTGGACTTAATGTTACACTGCTTTTGTTTTCTGGTCATGACCAATTCTAGGGCAAGAGATATTCCTCGGGTATTCACTTATTCCAAATTCTTCATTTCTAGCTAGATAGCCCTTTTCGCTCTTGAAATAACTACTAAAATGAAGAATGCATTGTTGGTATTTTTGAACATGTCCCTGCCCAAGGACCAATATATTTCTGATAGGATGAGTGTGATGGCAGCAGTTCTCTGGGACTTGTGTCTCCATCTGTTGCTGCTGTCTTGACTTAAGGTTTTCTGGTTTCGATGAGACAGTGGAAATCTGACCTCCCCGACACTGACCTCTTCATGTGCCTCGTGTCCTCCTCTGAAAGCCACACCAAAGTTCAGCCTCTGCCTTTCCTTCCAAATGCTCCCCCTGCTCTTGTGACAACCCCTCTCAGCCCAGTTTTGAGCTCTCAGCTTGAGATACCCCTTCCAGCTTGTGGAGTCCGTCCTGCTGCTTGGCTCCTCCTGCTCTGCCTCTTGGATACCATTGCTCAAATATTTTTCACTGCTCTTTGCAGCCAACCAGGTAATCTCCTTGCTGGGCTTTCTCCACAGCTGCAGAGCCTCGGCTCTGGTAGGGATTTCATAAATCCAAGTATGTTGGAGTACTCATGAAAATCTGCTGAGTAAGACTCTCAGGACAGAGAAGGAGGACATATATTGAGGAAAATGGAGATAAGGATGCTTAAAACCAGCCTTCATAAGCATCTCAACATATAATTCAAAAGTTTAAGGGTTCATTTAAGAGCTTCCTGACATGGAAGGCATCATAATCCCCTCAAAACTCAAAGCATATGGGCAGCCCTTCACTGCCATAAAGTGAAGGTGAAGCAAATATTCAGCATGATGTGATATAAAACCTAAAATGCTGACATGTAGGATCAACAATGAAATTTTGTTTACATGCCCCCTTTCAGTGCCCATAATATAGCACTATTTACAGCTCTCTAATCATGATTAAAAGGCAATTGTAGCTTGGCTTCCCAAATGAGATTGTGAATTTTTTGCTGCTAGAATTAATTTTTTACTCTAATATTTTGCATCTGTTTAAGGTATTCCATCATGAGACTCCAAACTGCTTCAAAAACAATGAAAAACTCATCCCTGCATCGCTATGAAGTAAGAAAGTACCTATATTTTGGCATAGAAAAAAATGAGGTTAAGCTAAGCAGGCCTGGCAAAATTTTGTTCCTTACCTGCCTCAGAGCAGTGTTCCTTTTTTTTTTTTTTTTTGTATAAAGAAAATAGCATTTAGTTTTTAGGGGAGTTTAACATATTTATGTTTATGGATGAATTTTCTTGTGTCTACTTCAGTAAATTTCAAAAATAATTTCATAAGGCTGATCCAGATCGATTGCTACCAGGCCCACCAGAAAACCTACTCTGATTCTTTTGCACTATCTATCAGAACACACCATGAATGTTAATGTTGGATCTGCGGTAAAACAGCATTCGTGCTTTTAGCTCAATCCCATTATGAATTAAGCTCACATCATACAGCCGCTACTCCTTGCAAATCAGCTGGAGCATCCTGAGTCTCATCATTGTGAAGACAAAGGAACTTGCTGTGTGCAAGATGACAGTGCCTATCAGATGGTTTGCTGAAAAGTAGGGCAGTAGTTCTCTTCCCCCTGGACTGTGATATCATAGTTTGATTCATACCATCCTTTTTGAGTGAAGGTAAGTAAGCTACTGAGGATAGGAAAGATGGTGAATTCTGGAAAATGAAAGGTTTATAATAAAACGAAAGAGTTATAATAAATTACCCAGTGCTGCCGCAGAGTGATCTCTTTGGACGTCAGAAGAGTGAAGCCTGGTTGACTGTACCGTAGTATAGGTGATACATCTGTTTTCCTTGCATGTAGCACACCTGAAGAACAGTCTGATTAGAGAAGGGTCCATCAGAACAGTCAAGAGATGCACCTCTGCTCTAGCTGCATCAGAGACACCTTCTCACACAGAAGGGCCACAGCTTGTGAGCAGTTCAGACACAAGCACAAGTTTTTACTTTCCTTTTTTTTTGAACTCTAGTTAGCTATGCATGCTCGCACCAGCTGGTGAAAAGCAGAAGACAAATATTGTATTCTGCCACACCTATTATTGCCACGTTTGTTAACACAAAAGTCTGCCCCTCAGCAGCTTCTGGATGACTTCGCAGAAAAGGAGAGATTTTCACAGCAGGGCAGCACTTTAACTTCAGACAGAAATATTACTCGGTGGTGACTGGCCAGAGTAAGGTCACACCGGGGATCATTAGGAAAATGATCGAACCTCTTGAAAGCAGCAAACCAGCAGGGAGCTAATGCTTTGTGTAGAGCAGTGTCACGCTGCATTCACACTTCGCACAGGGGAGCAAGGGTCTCCCTTCTGCTGGGAGTCTTGTTTTGCAAGCAGTGTGGATGAGACAATCAGTCCTTGCCCCTGCAGGTCTGCTTGTAGATGGCCCAGATGCTGCACAGTAAGCACAGAAGCTCTGCCCCTTCCCTGCCCCATAGGTCCTCATTTCCTTCAGTGGCCAGAGCCAAAAAGGGGAGTCAGTGGAGTCTGCAGCTCTTGGTTGTCTCTCCGTGCCATGGCACCCAACAATTTTGCTATCTTTCACCTGTGTAATTCCCACCAAGGTAGGAAAGTGTCTGTTGAAAACCACCCAAGAAATGTCTGACAACAGCAAGATAAACCTGTATCTCATGTCCTTAGTTAGGACTGTGACCACTTGGTCATTCTTTCTGTCTCCACAAAGGCAATAGATTAGCACATCGCTTTTTATCTGCCTTCTGGAAGGCCTCTCCAGAACATCAGTGTGAAGGAATAGCAGGCAGTGACAGCCTTCAAGAGAAGGGTGAGGACTAATACTCATTGCAAAGATGGCTGTTCTTCCAGTACTTTTGCAAAGGGGTGCCAGGCTCCAAAAAAGAGCCTAAAACATTTTAATCGGAGGCAAATGGGTAACACCAGTTAAAAAGCCTACAGTCCGCCGACTGCAATGAGTTTTATATCCCCCAGTAGCTGAAATTCCTCCTGAGACGTTGCCTATCTGAATACATCACTCAGTCTTGTAGAAAGCTCCAGGACTGAGGGATTCTTGCTGTTAGAAATTGTATCAAGTAACCTTATTGAAGATAAATGGTTTTGAACTTTCATGGCAACAATGATGAACTGTTTCAACGTCCCTGCAATGCAGCCTGAAAAATCAGACCTTTTAGACTAAGAAGTAAATTTTTTCAAATGAAAACGTGAGATTCAGAGCAGAGTTTTCATGTGGTCTTAAAATCACTTTCCTTATTTCCACACACTGAGTGTGTGCTTAGCAGAAGGGCCACTTCACTGACCAGTCAGGTCCTTTTGGTTTAAGCTCAAGAGAAGCTCATATAGTCTTACTTTCTCAATTAAGTGAGATCAATTTTAAAAGTAAAGTAAACACCACTAGCATGAAACAAGCCTGAGGAGGATTTTTCTTTTCAGAATGGACTACCTGCCCAGCTGACTCTGGGGAGAGCGCAGCATCTCCTAACTTTTAAGGATGAAGCCAAAGCAATACTAGGTGTGGTATGGAGTTGCAAGCACTGCCTATGTAGACCCTTTCTTCATGTTATGATCCCTCCTTCACCTATTTGAGATAACATATAACAGATAGCTAGCTAGCTTGACGTTTTGGATGACTATAATATGGTTCTTTAAGAACCTACAGATATTGACTGTAGGTAGAGGTGGTTTCAGGGCATGAGCCACCGACACTCCAGTAGCCTCACGGGTGTGCATGCATGGGAGGGATGCAGGAAAGCCATACGTCTTTGCTCCTGTCTTTCACAGTAGGAACACTAGATCTACCTGCAGGAATCAGTTTAGCTCTCTCCCGATAAACCCTGGCAAATGACTGGACCACAGAACTAGGTTTCCTCTAATCCTAGAGGCATTCGGGCCAACAGCAGCTGAAATCAATGTGAGTCCCTCCCTGAGCTTTGAGAATTAAAACAGGATCTTGCGCAGAAACATAAGACCCTTTTGACCCGTTATGAGAGGAGTCCTGTTTGTGGATGTAGGTTCCTCTCTGGGTTCTGACAGTGATAGCAGGCTGCCATGGATGACACAGCGTCTATCACAGTGGGGCCCTGATCCACAGAAGGGTCTCTGGGAACTACAGAAGTATAAATAAATAATAGAAATGCATAAAATAATAATAAAGTGAGTTCTTATAGGGCTGATAGCATCGTTAAAAGTAGAGCTGATGTCAAAAGCGATCCTTACTCAGTCTGAATTT